GCGAGACTTAGATTCCCTGTTCAGTAGTAGCGAGTCTGTTTAGTGATTGGATGTAAAGACTCAGTGATTTAAGACATGGATCTGAGTGTAGAGGGACTCGACGAGTCTACGCCCTGACTCGGTGAGTCCAAGGCAATCTCCATACCCGTAAGAACAGACTCGAGGAGTTGTTCATACAACTTGGCGAGTCACAGACTGGACGTGTTCTTATGTTGAAGGTGAACTCGACGAGTTGATCATGCAACTTGGCGAGTCGGATGAAGGTTGACAGAATATCAGTAAAGAAGGAGAACTCATCGATTTTTGGTTAAACTCGACGAGTAGAGTCAGGAAGGGGAGTAGAAGGAAAGATAGGGACTCGACGAGTTGGCGGCCCAACTCGGCGAGTCAGGTCAACGGATTTTTTGACTTTGACCAGGGGGGTAAAATAGTCATTTTACCCTAAGATTAGTTATCAGTGTTTGATTAAGTGTCTTTTGGGAATTGTAGTCGGGGAGTTACCGGAGCAGCAGTCAGACAGTTCTCGAGCAGCATTTCAGCAGCCAGCCTTACGAGGTGAGTTTCCTTCCAGTAGGAACGGGTCTACGGCCACAACGACGGCCCGTTTACTTAGCAGTAGTTCCGGCCTACGATCTGATCCAGTAGTTCAGTATGCTTGGTGTCTTTGTGATACAGGCATGGTATGTGTTATGTGTTCCGGACTATGGTCCGATGCAGTATGCAGTATATGTGTTTATATTATATGCTATGATATGCTCAGTCAGTTCCGGACTTCAGTCTGATGCAGTTTCGGACTTCGGTCCGATGCAGTGGGGAAGGCCCTAGTCAGTTCCAGACTTCGGTCTGATGCAGTTCCGGACTTCGGTCTGATGCAGTGGACAAGGCCCTAGTCAGTTCCGGACTTCGGTCTGATGCAGTGGGCAAGGCCCTAGTTAGTTCCAGACTTCGGTCCGCTGTAGTGGGCAAGGCCCAGTATGTGCTTTATATGTTATTGTATGGTATGTGCTAGTTTGGGGGAGCTCACTAGCTTCGTGCTTACAGTTTCAGTTTTGGTTTCAGGTACTTCAGCTAGCAAAGGGAAGGGCTCGGGATGATGGCATGGCACACACCACAGTTTAGCCTGGGAGATTGACTCTGATATTTTGATATGATCTTGACACTAGTTTTGATCTGATAATTTATAATGACATTTGAGATACACGATTCATGGTTTTTATCTTTTGATATTTGATATTATGGTATAGTAAAGTTTTCAAACGAAAATTTTTGGGTTGTATTTTTGGGATGTTACAAGTTGGTATCAGAGCCTTGGTTTGAGGGATTCGGGCGCACTCCCGAGTGTGTCTGAACTCAAACTAAGAGATACAAGCCTCACCCACACTCATATACCTATGAGATACGTGCCTCGCCCACACTCAGCTGGCTAGGAGGTATGGGCCTCGCCCACGCTCCTCTATCTGGAGGATATGGGCCCTCGCCCACACCCCGCTATCTAAACATACATACAAGTATCACGCAAACAACAAGTATACCATAATCTACCGATTCATAATCATACTCAGATAATGCTAAGATATGGGCCCTGCCCACACTTAGCTACTAATCGTAAACGAGTCTAAGATACGGGCCCTGCCCACACTTAGCTACTAATCATAAACGAGTCTAAGATATGGGCCCTGCCCGCACTTAGCTACTAATCATCATACATTCTCTACATGGGCCGACATTGGTGCCTTCGACCCGTTCCTACTGAAGGAAACTCACCTCGTAAGCTAACTGTGAAATCTCGTGTGAGGAATCTCTGACGGTTGCTCCAACGACTCCCCGGCAGAAAATGATGAGGATGGAAGGAAGTCTCTGGATCTACTATCTTCTCCTTGAATCCTCTAGCTTCTTCTTCTTCCACAAGCAGGAACCAGGCGTTACAATCAAGGAGGAAACGATAGGAAACGGAGATGGTGGTTTGTCGGATAATTAATTTGTGTGTTGTATGTTACACTTGTCGTCACACTTTGCTACTTGTTAAATTTGTAAAACTTTGGTTGTTTATTTTGATATGAAATTAATTATAACAGTATTTGGTATCTAATCGGATGTTGTTATATAATTTTTTTTATGTATTTAATGTCGTTATGTATCGGTTTTTTATACCTAAAATCGTTGATTAAAAAAAATTAAAAAAAATGAAAAATGTTATTACCGGCGACATCATCATTAGCGTATACATAAGCATTAGTGGCGACACCAAGTATTAACGGCGACAGGATAATTAGCAGCGACAATTATCTTTACCGGCGACGTTTTGATCAATAGCGACAGAGCAGTAGCGACAACTTTTTACCGGTGACGTGTCGCCGTTATTACCATTACCGGCGACTTTTGTCGCCGCTAATTGCCTTTTTTCTTGTAGTGAAAGTTGCATCATTTACTATGGAATCTCATTTTTTACGGTATTTATGTTACATTTAAACTAATTAACTTTTTATGTTTACTTCCTTCCTCATAAATAAAAAACTTTTTGCCACATGTCCTCTTCTCCTTCATTTGGATACATGAGATTTTCTAAAATTTTTGAATTTTTTATTTTCCACTTGTCATTTTATTGTATTTTTCATTTTATTAAATTAAAATTCCACATTTAATATGTAAGGTAATATATATGTAAAGTATTTATTAGAAAGGGTTTATATATGTAATGTATTAAATACATTAAAGCCTCATTAATTTTAATAATTCAAAATTTTCTCATTTTTTTTATAAATTCAAACTTTTCAAATTGTTAAAATTTCATATTTAATTTAATTTTTTAAATAAACTCATGTAATACATGGGTCTCACATCTAGTATCTAATATAACATAATTATCACATTTTGGTTAAAATCTCACTTCCGCCTCACAGTTTTTGACCAAACAAAAGATTCCATGGTGGCTTTCACATCCGCTTAATAGTCTAAAGAATCATGGATTCTAAATTTTCAAATTAGTTATTTGGATCAACTTCCTAGTGCTCTTTGTTTGCTTCTGAACTCACCAAATCTAGAAAGACCGGGTATGCTGCCAAAAGAGATTATAAAGGAAAGAGTGTTAAAATTCTATTTTTTTAAATATATATGGAAATACAAGGGTTGGATGATAAACCTACGTTGTATTCTTATCTTTTCAAGAGCTTCAAGTTTTATGATGCTAGACTAGCTTCAAATCAAATGGAAGCCCAAAACTGCTTGGACTTTACATTGAATCTATTGAAATTTGTGGAGATGGGAGGTTTAGAAGGATCAATACTTGAATTGCTTTTTGTAAAGCTTCTACTTTCTCATTTCCCTTCCCTTGAGAAGTTGGCCATTTCATCAAGTGTAAATTCTGAAGCTCAGAAAAAGACATGACTTTGCTAAAGCTCTTATGTGGTTTCCTCGAGCCCCACCAAAAGCAGAAGTCATGTATGTGGATCTGTAGCCTCGTCAAATTGCCAATTTTGTTGCTTACCTTTTTGCTTCCCTTGGTTTGTTTGCCCTTTGGTGATTTTTGGTAAAAATGTCATTGACCATGCATGGATATTATTGCATTTACATCACTTAATTGAAATTTTGTGTATAAATTTTTTTAATATTACATGTAAGTTGGGGTGTTCATAGTTTCTGACAAAGTGGTTTTGAGCTCTCACTACTAAAAACAGGAAATATAGTACGACTATTTTGGGGTATAGAATATGGAAGAATTGGGCGTATTCTAATGGGGGTGTATTAGATTTGATCACTTAATAGAGGACGGTTAAAGAACCGTACTCGATCTCTCTCTATACCACATATAATATGGTTGTACCACATATAATACATCTATACTGAACCATAATATATTCTATATATAATCTCACATAAAGTCTCCCACATAAAATACACACACACACAATCAACGAAAGTTAACATTGTTAACAGAGGCATTCATTTCATTGATGAGGTAGATGAAAATTATATTCAAAAGCAGGAATAAAATGAATCAATTTGAAATGCTTTTTTTTTCCTATTACAGTCTTCCTAACTCTATCATATCCTCTACCACCATCAGTCTCCACAAATCTACATAAATAAATAAATAAAAATCAGCTTTACTTATATTGTTAAACAAAATAAGAAAAAAGTAGTAGATTAATGATTGTCTGAGATATGATAGTTTGTACATAAAGGGATTTAGCATGGTTGGAATCGCCTGTGAGTCAATTCAGTATTGACCATCTGTCTATGCAAATTGCAAAATCAAGTCTATTATAATAGATAGATAAAAATGAAATAGAAGAAATAACAATGAAATATAAGTAATTTATTTTCCATTTTTTAATAGTACAATGCCCTAATAAAAAACAATTTGAATGTACAATACTATAATTAATTAAAAAAATTAAAGTACATTACTTTAAGTAAGTAAACTTACAATATAATTAAGCTCCTTGATATGTGGGAAGATGCCTCCTCTTATACGCACCATCCATAAGAACTTTTTGATATATATATATATATATATATATATATATATATATATTAAAAAAAATTCCAAAATAGATATATATATATATTGATGTAAAGTGTAAACTCCAAAAATACTAAATCTTTCAAAAAAATTAATTATTAATAATCAAATCATTTTCAAAATCTAGTTCATATAGTGAGAGACACTACAAGAAAAATACCCTTTAATGACGCGCAAACAATGACACTCGCAGATATACAATACGCATTTTTGTGTGTCCATAAAAATAATGTCAGGTTTCCAAAAACTGAAGGATAGAGGACACGCATTTTTGCATGCCCTTAAATTAGTGTCTAAAAAAAAGAAAAAAAAACACGGAGGGCACCTAACGAAAAAAGGGCGTCCTCTAAAGGTGTCGTTTTATATTTTTTTTAGGAAGGGCGCGTTCTCCATTTTTTTAATAGCCGGGAAATGAAATCCCAAAAAATTAAACACCCCGTCATTTATCTCCTTCTTCTCCTTCTACAATCCTCTACCAATGAACCCTAATAGAATTGTGAGGCTGTTAATCCTTTTGAAGCAGCCCGTCTTCCTCTACCTCTGCACTCTCTATCCCTTTCCATTTGGAAGCCCTAACCGCGACCACCAGCATCGAACCCCATCATCTCTAAGAGTTCGGAGTGCATCTGATGAAATCGACAGTTGTACTGACTCCGTAATCGGCGACGACTACCGCTGCTTCTTTCGCTCGTACTCCGACCGCCACCAGCTTCTCTTTCCGGTTGTTGGCTTCCATAAAGGCAACAACATGCTTGTCATCGCCGGATTTATTCTTTGCTCTACCCGGTTTCCCCTCGCATCACACACTTTCTTTCCCGCTTCCAACCCACTTTCCTTGAGACAAACCCACCTCCGCCCACCATCGCTAGCACACCACCGTCGACACTCCCCAGTGCCACACCTCCTCTAGCTACTTCGTAATAATTCGAGAGAATAAATATTGCAGAAGAAGATATGTGGTGCACACACTGCTACCCAGTTCATGATTCTCGTTCAGTCCGCTTTCACCACCAAAAAGAAAGTATCTAGGGTTTTCAATATATCTCGTTTTTTAGGAATCATAACTCGATGATTTCACTGCTCAGGTTCGTTATACTTTTCTTCACCTCCCTCCGCTTTGATTGCAAATTTGTTTGAATTTTCGGAAACTGGGATTAGATTACAACTTTTCAGTGTCCGATCAAAATCAAGAAATTAGTTGATTTTGATGACAGTTGTATTGCTCTCTACCTGTATTGCTCTACTTAATATTTGTCTATTTTTACTTTCCTTTTTATGTGTTATAGATCAAAATTGTGACTGAAAAGTCTTTATCTACCCCTCACTTAAATCTCTCTAACATAGCATACCATGAATTTAGCCATTGCCTCTTTTGTGGTGGACTTTATGGTTCAGAGCCTCCAGCTTTTCAAAGGGCAGAAATGGAAAGATTAGCTAATCAATCTGTTGATGAAAATGATAAAGGCTTCTTAACAGAGGCCCAATGTGCTTGTAAGTTACTTGTATTCTCTTTCTTTCTTCTTCTCTTGTTGTTAGGCTGTTTTTTTTATGATGAGGACGAGGAGGGCGTTTACGTCTTTTTACACAGACTAGAAAAATTTAAAATTTAAATTTCCTTACTGATGTATTTCTTTGACTTAATGACATCAGCTCCTAGGCTTGGAAAAGTGGAGAATGTTGGAGACACTCAAGAGACTTCTGAAAGCCAAAAAGACTATCCTGCCCCTGCTTCTATTGATGAAACAGATACCCTTTCTGATATTGATGATTCTGAGGTGTGTTAAAAGTATTGGCTTTTTAAGATTTTTACATTCAGTATCCTCGATCTAAACCATTTTTTATTTCTTATTTTTAATGAGTATAAGAAATATAAAAATGAGTAAATTGTGAGAATGGTTCCCTGACTTTATATGGCAATGAATATTGACAGTGTCTTAAGGTCAGGAACTACCATCCTTCTCTTTATCTTCTTCTTTTTTCTCTCACTATTTTTTTACATATATAAACACTTTATTATACAGGTTCACCCTGGTTCTATATTAGTTGAAGGTACATTAGGAAATTTCAGGCTGTGTGATTGTTCACTAGGTACGGATCATGTTTGGGGATGGATTTTTGATATACGTAATCAAGGAGCTGAATCTCTTATCCAGGTACATATTTTATAGTTGATGTTATGTGTATAAAGGTTTACTTATTATTTACTTTGTCCTAATCACTCTTTCTTTATATGTGTGTATATATCAATTCTCATTTGAGTCCTACAGTCCTGAAGATGATCACTATGAAGGATATAACTTTAGCTTGAGTGGCAAACTTTCTTCCATTCGTATTCAAGAGGTTAGTTTTGACTTTCTTTCTCTTCATTTCAATCGAATGACCAAGTAAACTCAATGTATGTTGTCTATGTGTACGTATTTTATTACTAAAATGAAGTTAATTCAAGTTGCAGCTCCTTACATATCTTGTGGCACTGGCGCCTCCAGTTTCAGAAGAAGCGATCAAGTTTGTTGATAAAGTTGGAGGGTTTGAATGGTTGATTAAGAAGTATGAGATGGATGGAGCTGCTGCAAGGAAGTTGGACCTCTCTTTAGAGACTCCAATAATAGTGGTACCACGGGATTCCAATGGCACAGAATTAGTAGTTCTTCCATTCCAACTGCAGTTTGTTCATAATCATATCATATGTCTTGTGACTTGTGAAAATGGGTTATCATTGTTTCTTTCATGGATGCAGTTTCTTGGAAGTGAAGGTTTGGGCTTCAAATTAAACCCACTGTCACAGTTTTCTGTTTTTATATCTTTTCATAATATGATGGAACTCATAAACCCACTATTGTAAACAGATAGGCTCATTGCATATCGTGGTGTCTGACAAAGATTATGGTATTATTACCAACTGTCTTGCCATGAATTTGGGTGAACAACCTGATTATTTGAAGATGATGTGGCTTAGGATTGACTTTCTTCGTTCTTTTCTTGAATTGGGATACAACTTTCTCTTCACGGTATTCTCTCTCTCTCTCTCTCTCTCTCTCTCACACACACACACATTTTCTCTCTCTACATAGGAAAAAGTGGATTTTTGTGTTGTTATGTACTTAAGTCTAGGTTTAGAAGTTAGATGTTTGAACAACTCAAAACAACTTAGTTTTGAGTTAAAAACAGAACCCCTTGTGAAATAGAATAGTTATGAGAAAAATAAAATCAAGAATGTGATCTTTATATTCAAAACTACGTCATTTTGAGTGGTTCTACAACACAACATATTTGACTCATATATTTACTTTGAGATTGAACTTAGGAAAGGTTAAACCTCAGATTTATTTGACTCATATATTTACATAAGCTTTTTGTTTCAGGTTCTTTCTGAAGCTAAGAAAATAACTGAGTCACGTATGGCTGCAAAGGTAAGTTTTCTAATCTTGTGAAGTGTTTAATAGCAATTTTAGTAATTTTATGAACTTGTGGAATGATGTGAAGGATTAAGCTTCCTATGCCTCTTATTTTCTGAAAAGATAATACTTGGTTATGTGTTTTTCAGGCTGCTAAAGATGCAGAGTTGGCTATCACATCAAATACTAGTCCAGAAGGCGTGGAGAAAACGGGTGCTCCTAAATTCCCTACTAAAGCTGTTTGTGCAGAGAGCATATGGAATTGCGAAAGGAGATACTGACTCTTCTAAATCTTCAGAAACTGGTATAGTCGACCACCTTTAGAAGAAGTTTTGGAGGCTAGAAAGAAAAATGTTAGTATTTATTTTATAATTGGTTGTTTAATTTATCAACATCTAGTAATAGAGTTTTGAAATTAATTTACTGGTTGAAAATTGGCAGGATGAAATTTGCAATGACAAGGGTAATATGGGAAAATTAATTTACTGGTTCAAAAATTGGTTGTATGATACACATCCACTTCATTCAAGTACTTTAGACAAGGGTAATATGGGAAATCAGCAAATTAAGAGAATCTTATTAGTGGAGGGGCAAATTAGGTATTTTGCTTAATACATTTTGTTATGAGAGGAAAAGAAAGCTCAAGCTGAAAGAGATAAGATGCTGCAAATGCAAGCGTTGCATTCTTCATTTCAATTGTTAGTATGAAACACAGAGTAGATTAGATTAATGCAAATTTATATATTGTAAGAAATAGAATTGTATGACATTAAATTTTATGCAATGGATTGTATTTTTTGTATATGGTATTTTATTTCTATTATGAGACATTAAATGCAAATTTAATTTAAAAATTAATAAATATATAAATATATTTTTTTTAACATTTAAATTTACGATACGCAAAAATGTGTGTCATCTTCATTTATGACATGACCTTTCTTGACAAAGGTTTTAATGATACGCATTGCGTGTCATAAATGTGCGTCGTAAATGCGCGTCGTCTCTCGTTATGACATGACCTTTCTTGACGCGCATTTGCGCGTCGTCTGAGCGTTTTACGACACACATTGCGCGTCGTAAAAGGCTGTTTTTCTAGTAGTGAGATCGGCAACATCCAAAAACCCTACATCTTCCACTGAATCAAAAGCATCTCCACCCACATCCCACATCTTTACATCAACATTAAGATTCTTTGACAAAAGTTGGAGATTATTGTAGATGTAAACCAAGTCTTGAGCACATCTTGTAGTCAACTTCTTCCTCTTAAGAGAGTGAATAAATGCATAAGTACTCCAATTACGGTCAGCACAAAAAGAAGAACTAGTCCAAGTAATCTAAAAACCAAAGTTTGGAGAAAAAGAGATTGAGCACCAAAGTTAACCCACCAATTCTTGGGTTCCTTAGTAGCCATCTTTGAAATGTTTGTTAAATTCTCAAAAGGACCACTCTTCATTGAAAATATTGCATACTCATCAAGGACTCTACTATACTCATCATCATTAGGAAACAACCTTCGAAAACATTTCATCATTTCATGTGAAAATTCTCCATCCCTATGTGGAGCACATCTTGTAGAATCCTCAAGTAACCATGCATCACTATAATATCTACAACATTCAAAAGTTAAAACATAAGTATAGAATAGAAATCAAGTGTATAATTTAAAATCATATGCCTTTGATTTAAAGAGTGAGCTAAACAATGTAAGGGAGTGTTATTCTTTGACCGTCGAGTCACTAAAATACAATGCACAACATCATAAAAGAAACTTATTTGAGATTAAAAGGTAAATTCATTAATGAAATTGATATTCATTTATTATTATATTTATTACAATTATTACATTAAAATATTATGTGGAATTTAATAAAATAGAAAACTCATAAAATGACATGTGGAAAAAAATTAATTCAAAATAACCATAAAATTACATTTGACAAATTGAATTAGAATATGACAAGTGCCAAAAAAAAAAAAAAAAAAAAAAAAAAAAAAAAAAAAAAAAAACTTTTATTTATTAGAGAGGATAGTGAGATTCTTTTTCTTTTTATTTTGTTTATTTTTTTGTATTCCTTTATTTATTTACTTTGTTAAGTCGGGAACAAAGTGTTTTAAGGTATTCCTTCTAATATGGTAAACCCTAATTTCCAATTCTTCGACATTTTACCATGACGGATAAACTATTTGTTCGTCCGAATGTAAGATGGGTAAGTTTCTAATCTTCATAAACCTCCATCTGTTTTATTCTTTGAAAGTCGTGGGATTTCTTCTGTTCATTGGAAAAGTAAACTCTGTTTTTGGGTGGTCGTTGTCAATCATTACGTATCCACTGTAAAACAGAAATCAGGAAACCGATTTCTAGAAAATTTGTTACATGACATTCGCAAGAAAATTGAAGCTTGAGGATCCAAAAATCAACCCAAAAGAAATTGTTTTAGGTTAGGTTTTGTGTCATTATGTTATTGAAGACAAATGGATTATTATCTACTAGGGTTACAAAATGCAATATGCCTGTCAAATTTCCTTAAAAAATGCTTACAACCATTCTTTCTCATGAACTATGCTACCACACGAAAAAGCTTCATGAAAAAACTTCATTGATAATGAAAGGATATTTAGAGTATTAGAAAGGTCAAGTTTTTCAATGTTTTTTATTGGATTCCATTTTATATTGATATAAACTTAGTCCCATTTATATTTTATGTGAATCTAATAACAGAAAAAAATATAAGGAGGGCTGTAAGTTGTGGTGACGAAGACAGGATCAGTAACTTGCCAGAACACTTGATAGACTCGATCTTAGAGCGGCTCCCATTTGAAGATGCTGTAAAAACAAGCATTATATCAAAAAAGTGGAGGTACAGATGGACCACAATGAGGGCACTGATTTTCGATGAGCAGTTCTTCAAAAAAGTTGCAAAAAAGGGAGCTTTTGGTTGTAATGGATTTATAAGGATCATATACAAAGTCATGATCCTTCACAAGGTTCCTATCTTGAAATTTCATCTTCATATACCAAACATATATCTTGATAGCCTCCAAGAAGTTGATCAATGGATGTTGCTCTTATCAAGAAACGGTGTCACTGAACTCGTCCTTAAAAATTTGAATCGCCGTTATGAACTTCCTTCTTATTTGTTTTCTTGTCTAGATTTAATAATGTTGGACTTGCAAAACTGTTTCTATAAGCCGCCACTTGAGTTTGAAGGATTTCTCAATCTTGAAGAACTTATTCTGAAGCATATTGACTTTGGGGCTAGATTGTGTGAAACTAAGATCAACCTACCACAACTTAAGAAGTTGTCCCTGCATACATGCACAAATGCTTACAATTTCAATATTAAGGCTACAAAACTGCAGTATCTGACAGTTGTTGCTTCTCCTGATGCCATGTTGCTCCAGTTAATAATGGACAGTCCATGCGTTTCTGTGGCTGTGATTGCTTTGCAGAAACCCATACAAGATTTTGTACGAGTTGAAAAAATGAATTTGGCCACAATGTTGAGTAACTTGCCTAGAGTTAAAGACTTATATATCGACAAGCATTTTCTTAAGGTAAACTTTTTATGCAAAACATTTTCTCTTCCTCAATTGGAGTTTGAACAAAGAGGTCCTATATTTCTCTTCTTATGTTATACTTATGTTTATTGGGTAAGTTAAAATCTTAATTACTTTCATCTCTCAGTTTTTGGTTGCAGAAAAGATTCCCAAATTGCTTCCATGTGTGATTAGTAGTTTAAAGCGTTTGTGGTTGCTCCGTTTTCAACTTAGTGATTTGCATCAACTTCATGGTGCTCTTTGTTTGCTTCGAAACTCACCGAATCTGGAAACCTTGTATATGATACACATGCAGGTGGTAAAGTAAAATTATATGATTGTTTTGCTTATTTGTTACAAGAGTCGGATGCTAAAGTGCAGTTGCAACTTTATGTTGCTTCAGGAACCTCGAGTTAACGTGGGACTAGCTACAAATCATTTGGTATCCCCAAACTGTTTGGACTTTACATTGGATCAGTTGCAAACTATTGAGATAAGATCTTTAGTAGGATCAAAAGCGGAACTCTTTTTATAAAGCTTCTTCTTGCTCATTCCCCTTCTCTCGAGAACTTTACCATCGCACCAAGTGGAGCTCTTGATGCTAAAAAAATACTTGGCATTGCAAAGGATGTTATGTGGTTCCCTCGAGCCTCACCAAAAGCAAAAATACTCTACTTGAATCCCGAGGCATAATTTTGTAAGAGTGTTGTCCTTGACTTATTTGCCTTGGGGTGATTTTAATAACAATGGCAAGTACCACCATTTTGTTTTATACTTTCTTCTTTCTAATTATGTAGCTACTCGTTGTAGCTCATTTTTGCTTTTCGGGTGTGTGTTAATACTTGTATGTAGTTGTACGCATGAAGAAGAGACCGATGATTTGGGATTTTAAATAAAGGGAGAATTTCGTGTGTGTATATATATATATATATATATATATATATATATATATATATATATATATATATATATCTTAAATAAACAACAAGATGTCATATTTGCTCTAGCTAATATCTAAATATCATGTATACCGTTGATAAGCATAGGAAATATCATATTTTCTAAAATCCTATTTTTTAATATTTTTTTAAACACTTTTATACTCATAATTTGTTATTTAAATCATTTTAATTATAAAAAAAATTAAGTTGACCATAATACCTTGGTGAATCGACATTACTTTGTTCTCTTACCACAATCACTTGAGCCCTGGAAACACAATCGACCAAATCGACGTCGAAGCTTGCGTTCACCTACTCAGCCGCGCTCAGCGACAGTAAGAGTGGTTAGTTGGTCAGATTGCGAAACTGCAGGAGGTGGTGAGTCTGGAGAACATGTTTTTCTCTGAGGAAAATGATGGAAGTCGATGAAGAATCAAAGCAAGTTTCTTATTAGGTTATCAGAGACGATAATGGAAATGTCAAATTAGATTGCCCTGTTATTGGTAAACAAGTCACCCCTGAAGAAATTTCTGCACAGTTACCCACTTCAATTCATCTTCATTGATCGATCTTCATCAGTCGTTTATTTTAATGGAATTCATCTTTTCTTACAGCCAGTCATGGATTTGTGTGCTTGTTTTAAGCATAAAAAGAACTAATTGTCGCTTCACTTTTTTGGCTTTAGGTGCTGAGGAAGCTTGTGGAATGTGCATCAAAAATTTTGAAGTGATAAAGTTACGAAAGAAGTAGTAACAGTGCGAACAACCAAAGATGTTAGCCGGATTGTAGGTATTCAGGTTCTTCGCATTATCAATGACCCAACTGCTTCATTAGCTTATGGTTTTGAGAAAAAAAACAAGGAAAAAGTTCTAGTGTTTGATCTTGGTGGTGGAATGTGCTAGGTAAGGTTCCCTTTCTCATCTAATTGTGATTGCAGAAGTACCTTTATCCTTGTGCCATTGAAAACTTAGATCCATCCTTGTGTACTATGAGGTTAGTGATTGTGTTTTTGAGGTACTTTCAACCTCAGCAGATACCCATTTAAGAGGAGATGTCAAGGTTAGGATACCGTCCTGTGTTACAAATACATTCTTAATGACCAAAGCTCTAACACGTTTTTTGAAATTTAAATAGAGAATTGTGATTACCTAGCTCAAACTTTCAATAGGGACATTATGGCTTGAATGTATAAAAAAAAAAAAAAATCTTGTATTTATACAAAAATAAGCTTTTAAATGAAAAATCTGTATTTATACGGTTTCAAATATATATATATATATATATATATATATATATATATATATATATATATATATATATATATATATATATATATATATATATATATATAGTTTCAAATGGAGAATGCTTAGCATTGAACAAAATTGGAAAAATAATGATGTTCGGTTTAGAACAAAAAAATGGAATGTCAAAATTGAAAAATAAATTAATAAAACTTTGTTTCAAAATTGAAAAAGGTGGAAACATATTATTTTTTGTGTAGTTTTTTTCAATATTGACACGTCAGCATACAATGCCAGAATGTCACGTCATGAAAAACTGACGTGTCATCATGCCATGTCAGCAGACAACTAGGTTGACTGGTTAGAGTTATAATAAACTGGAAATTATTTATCCAATTTGAAACAAAAAATAACGCAATGTCAAAATCGATTTTTCATTTAAACTTAGTGACTTTTGTGCTATTTACCCTCATTTAATCGAGATTTGTAAAAGTTTATTATATTTTCTAACTGACATGGTGTTGTTATAATTTTTTTTAATAGTAAGTAATCACCACATCAATGATATTAATTGATACTTATTTGATAGAAAAGTTGAATTTGTATCGTATGAGTTTTAAACAGAACAAAAAGATAAAATAGTCATTTTTGTCATTCAGCACAGTCAGTCATGATGGTTTCAGTCGGATGTAGATTCATTTCATGTAGACCCCGTTAAACCTTTGCAGTTAACCCTTTGACTCAGTCAGATCTGACAATCAGACATCAACAAATATCAAACAGCCCCTTAATAGGTTTAAGATTTTAGGTTCTTAAAATAACCAAAAAGAAAAGGCTTATATACATATAAAATTAAAGATTCATATTTTTATTTTAAGATCTCAGCTATCTGCTATTAATTATTTTTGTCATTCATACCCTTAGATTAGTCTGTTTGCAACGCTTATAAAACCAACCTATTTGAAAAATTATTTATCATGTAAAGAAATGAAAATATATTAGGTCCAGAATAATCAAGGATTAAAAAATTTCATTGAAAAGTATATTTTATAACAATATAAAAATGGGTTTTGAAGCCAAAATACATTCATCATTTAATTACACGTTACTTTATAAAAAAATTCATATCGTAACTTACAAAAAAAAAAAAGTTAATAATTCATATAATAATTTTAAAAAAAGAAGTCACTTTGTAGTAACGTATTTAGATTCGGATTTATATTTAATAACTAAAACAAAAAATATTCAAGGTATAGAATCGGAAAATAAAGACAAATGAGGTGGTACATTAAAAAAAAGTTATTAGTATTTTAATAAAGGGAAATCTCCAATGAAGTCATAATATTTCGAGTCAGTTTACGGTTTATCCCAAATTAATTTTTGTTTACCAAAAAGACAGATTGCCAGCTAAAACTTTGGAATAACCTTTCGCGACTGGTTTCATAGATTTAGCCAGTATCTCGTCTTATATTATTACTTGATCAAAATTTGGGGCTTTTCCAAAACTTATGTAATTTTTTTTACCCATGTTGAGTTCTTAAGCTCGGTGGTCAATTCTTCATAGTTTTCTAGCCTTATAAGCTAATTGTGGCATGTGAAAGCTAGCCCAAAAATCTAATTACTATGATATTTGATATTGTTCTATACTTGATATCGATTATTTAGACTCATAGGGTCAAAACTCATATACATCCATACAAAATGCAATAACATTTAACTTGTATTTTCATATTGCCCAATTTATATGTCATATCCCATTATCCCTTTGTAATAAATTGATTTGAGCAATCATATTCGGTGTAATTAATTAAAAGCACATGTAGATCCAAACTGTAACAATATATTAACTCTATGATGTTTGCAACATACTATCTATATGATAATCAAATATGAGGAAAATATGTATATTATGTATCAAATTCTCTTACAAACAACACTTGAATAAATTCAGACATAACCAAGTAATAAAAACTTAGCAGATAAACATGACAGATGTGACCAACCCTTCATGCTCCTGATTCTCTACTCCTGCATATATGCACAGGTTGATTCCAAGACTTAAAGACCAAAATAAATCATCTTATTGATAGTTGGTGAAATAGTATGAAGTATGCGAAATATATTTATGTTTTTATGAAACTTTTGGTTTCACACAACAGTCGTATGGAAAAACGAAACAAAGACTATGAAAACTATTGAAAATTCAATCAAAATCCGCCATGTTACAATCAATGAAAGTTTAGAAATGATACATGAAAAAGTTTCAAATTGAGTGACGAGGAAAACACACGGTGAACCTAGAAAGAACGCAAGAAAGAAGACAGGGAATAGTATATATTAAATTAGATCATATAATATACATTAGTTTAAGGATAATTGGTATAAAAAAATAACATAATCTTCAGACAAGTCCAAAATTTTGATCAATTAATAAAAAAAGATGTGATATTGGCTAAATTTGTGAAACCGAACACGAAAGATTATTTCGAAGTCTTAGCAGGTAATTTGACTTTTGTTGTAAACAAAACTTAATTTGTGATTAAACGGTAAACTAACCAAAATATTAGGACTTTATTAAAAAGTCTATTTTAATAAATTACAATATAAAATTCATATTTTAATAAAAGAATATGTTTAATCTCATATTGACAAATGACATACAAATAGAACTCCTCATCACTTCTCTATTCTAATAAAAGAATAGTTTTATTCTCCTTTTGAAATGTGTCATCTTATTAGACCTCTTAATTAATGCACATTTTATTTTTCTTTTGTCATGTGTCACACTATTATGTCTCCTAATTAATAATTGCCATTTGTCAACCTATTTATTATTCATTTTAAATTTTAAATTTTAAATTTCTCACACTATCTATATTAAATTAATAGCATTAAAAAAATTAATATAAATTATAAAGTGATATAATTTCACATATTTATTTAAATCAATGATTATAATTTTATATAACTAAAAAATCTTTTAATTAATAATTTATTTAAAATAATTGTTTAATAATTTTAAATTTTTACTATAAAAGTTTAATTAATTTTGTACCCGTGATTCCCACGGGTTATAAACTAGTTAATGTTATATATCACCTATCATACCACTTGTCAACCTATTAATTATACATTTCAAATTTCAAATTTCAAATTTTAAATTTCCACTTTAATTACATTAAATTAATAATTGATTGTCCATTTCAAATTTTAATTTTTAAATTTCTCATTCTAATTACATTAAATAAATAATTGATATTTCATTTTAAATTTTTTGACTCTAATTATATTAAAATAATAACATTAGGTTGAAAAATAAAATAAAATTAATACAGATTATAAGATTATAT